ATGTGCAATGAGCATATTGTGCACTATATCCATTGGGCAAGCCATGTTTGAAAACAACGAGCCATTGTTTTTACTTTTTACCGGTTCAGACAAATTAAAGGGTGTCTGCGGATCAGTTCCGGGTTAGTTCCATGTTGGAATCAAGAATCATTTATTTTCGCGGTTGCGGTTCTGGGCCAGGTTCTTCAAAAAAATAAATCCATATCCATGACCACTAAAATTTGTCGATACCCATCGGTTTCGGTTCTTTTTATGGTTATACAATCTACGAGTCTAAATTTTAAAAATCTTAATAGACTTGGATATTGAGAAGTTTCAAATGTTCAAGCATTTACAATTCTTTTTAGAACCGCTTCTAAACGGTGCTAAAAAATAAGATCCATATCCACAACTTTTTTTGCAGTTTCGATTTCAGGTGTCCATTACAATTTTTTTTACAGTTTCGGTTTCGGGTATCCATGGTCCATGGACACCTTTAGGAGGTGTTCGACAACCATAAAATTTTAGAAAGAAATTCTATAACAGTTGATGTCTAGTAAAAAAGAAAGTCATAAGTTGAGTTGAAAGTTTAATTTAGAAACTTGATCAGAAATTCCTTTGTTAGTTCTTTAGAATGATTTTCTAATTGAACGCACTTTTAGGGCCCGTTCGGCAACAGACCCAAAATGCATTTTCCTACTGTCTAAAATGAGAAAAGCTATAAGTTAGTTCGGTAACCCGATATAAAAGGAATTCTGAGAAGTTGAATAATTTATTCTAACCGTAAGTTTTAATTTTAGCTTTTTCAAACAGCGACTTTGTTGGAAAGTACTTCCTAACTTATCGCTTCTTGCTGAACGGGCCCTTACTTCTCTAAAAGTTAGAAAATACATTCTCGTGGGTTTGCCAAACGGGCCCTTAGTCCGGACCCTAAAATCTAAAAAATACAGACTGGGCTAGATAAGAGTTTATTGGGCCAGACCTAAAATCCAATTACAGTTCCGCGTGAAAAAACTTGTTCCGCCGCTACAATAAAAAACCCTAAGGGCATAATTGTCCAAACAAATACATTCTAACTCTTCGATTCTCATTATAAAATCCAAGCTCTTCTCGTCTTTGACTCGTAGAAACGCATAAACCCTAGTAGGAGACGAAAGAGGAGCGGAAGCGAAATTGAGGTTTTTGTTTTGTTTTTGTTTTTTTATTGATTCAAAATTGAATTAGAACCATGTGATGAAATTGGAGTGTCTAATTCTCACGACGGTCATCTGATACTCGCTGATGCATACAGATCCAATGTTTCTGATGGTTTTTGTTCTGTTTATTGTTTTGATTTTTTTGTTTTTTTTTTTGAAATTTTGTTATATTATGAATAGATCAAAGCGTAATGATGATGAACTTTTATCAACCGAAATTTCCATGAATGGATAAAATCCTCCTACTCATTCTGAACGTTTTGATCAT